GAACTATCGCGGCTTGATTTCAGGCCACCAAACCTCATTTCACTAACGCGGCCACAATGGGAACCTTTTTTTGTGAAGGTGCGAAGCTAAGCAATCTGCTGTCGCAAAGACTATCGCCGTGGGAATGTACATCTTCTACTGACGCGAGCTATCGCGCACACCATGAAAGCTGACGCGGCCAATCATTACTTTCATTTTTATATAAAATCCCACATGGGGGGTTTTGGCCGCTGCTCATTTCAAACGAATGCAGGAAGCCTTATGTTCAATCGGAACTTGAATACATGACCAGGTGCCTACACGCACGTATATGTACACATGCATGTTTTGAATTGCTTAGATTCGCAGATATGAATACATAAGCTGTCCTAAACCTTGACGTTGGGGACCCAACCTATTCATTCTGACCGGAGTCCAACGTAAAGAGCTAAGAAGTGCATTACACCAAGCACGCACGCGTGCACATGTCTAAATTTCTGGCAGTGCATGTCATATCTTGCAGACGTAGCACACATACATAGGTTCATTTATTGCGGCTGGTGAATCACATGAAAGCCAGCTCACCTCCCAAGTCATCAGCTTGAGAGCCCAAAGCGTTTCCCTAAAGGTAGGCCATACCGTAAACACCAAACCCAAGTTTCTGCTGAGGCTGAGGACTTTGCCTTTTCGTGCAAGGGTTTTGGCAGCTCCTTGCCGAGAATTCGGCTGAACTCACGGAGGAGCACCGAAGAAACCTTCACAAATTCTCGCAGGGCACAGAATTGCAAAGCATCCCCTGCTCTCAACAATGAATGGGCTCATGCCATGCAGCACACTCACATTGAGTGCACAATTAGGCGTAGTACCAGCAGAATGTCATGCATGCTCCACGGCTCAACCCCTTGTGGGCATGGGTACCAATACACCCCCTAAATACGTACGGGCAACTCCTACTTCCGCATCTAAGCCAAATCTTGCATCAGCTTCTACCAGTAGCTTACTGGTGCTTAGGGGAGTGGGGAGGTGGATCCCTATAAACATCCCTGTATTGATATGACCTATGTACCTCTATACTGGTACCTCTATCCACTCCCCCTCAAAGCCCCAGTAGGGTGGCGGCTTCCCGTCGCTCAGGCAGAGCTTTGCCTCGCCTCTGCCTCCGGCATGGCGTCCTTGATGCATTGAGCTGCCCACTCCGTCGAAGTTTGCGCGACCCACACCTCCACCTCACTCAGAATGACTCACACATAATTCTTATTGGCATTATTGTTGTTATTGCTAAATGCAATGAAGCTTGCTACTGGTGTTGATATGATATCAGTGCAGCTAGAGCATTGCAGGCTGGCCTCGGCACCATGTCTGGGGATGCGAGAAGAATCGTCCAGCACAAGGGAAATCGGGGAGTCTTTGACCTTGCCAAAGCTGGAGCAATGCTTGCGAGGCAACGTATGCTGTATGCTTTTGAGACAAAGGGCAAAAGCTATCCGAAAAGGAAGCTCCAGCTGCGTAGGGAATACCCAGGCCTTAGCTGCAACACGAACTTGGAGCCCAAGAATATGAGAACCCTCTCCACTCGTCTATCACCTCCATCTATGCTGTGATGAGAAAGACTGCAAGCAATGCCAGTGAAGTAGGGCAGTTTACCTGACTCGTTGCCGCCCAGCATCAGCAGCTACCCGCGCCTTGTCATGAAGGCTTGAGCTCAAAGAGCTGTGACAACTATACCAGAGAACGCCATGCAGTCAGCGTTTTTGGCAGAGCTAGGCCTTTTCGAAGTCCTTCGCCAGCAAATCGGCCGGCAGCATCCCTTCGACTGTCCCTGCCTGACCAAAAGACTGCTGTGCTTCAGACGTGCAACTGAATGCCAAGACTCTGGCAAGCCCCTGTTCCCTCTCCCTCAAGCTGTGTCTGCCCGCCGGCAGCAACGATCGCAACGGTGCCAGGGGCAAGGCCATGATCAGCGCAGACACAGAATCACAGCCTCAGCAGCTGCCCAAATTGTCGAGGAGCCCTCTTCTGAGATTCAGGGTGAAAATTGTGGAGGACAGGATGCTGTCCAAGTTTCCGTTGAGGAGCCAGGCTTCCTCAGTCATATGCAAATCAAAGCAGGGAAACATGCTTGACCTTCAGTCTGAGTAACTTACACCACGTTCATGCTTCACGGTAATAAGATGTAAAATGCAAACCACCAGGCGTGCTTGGCAAGGCACCTCTTCCCAGCTCACTGAATCAACCTCACCGCAGCGAGTGATGTGTTCCAGGTCCTTGCTGGGGGCAGGCTTATATTGCTGGCAGCAATGGAAGCACTGCACACAGATAGGTGCGCATGTAATCAGGCAATTCCCCGATGCATTTTCTTTCAGGAGCCGGAGTCATAACTATCAATGGGACGGCCAAAGTTCTATGCGGGGCCCAACGTGAAACGAGCATTGAGGATTTTTTGGCATGGCAGGAATAAAATACTACACAAGCAACCCCTATATAACCCCAGTTTCCATTTCATTTTCCATTTGATTCTCCATTATTGGGACTAGGTCCTCCACGGAGAGCTCCACCAAGCTGCCCATGCTGGGCCGGCCCACGTGCCAGCGGTCGGTTTCCGCTTTCAGCTCCGGCCTCTCGCTGAAGCTTCCCGGGGCTTCCTGGACCACGGGTTGCCCAAACGACGCCAGAGGATGACAGAGGAGGAGGAGGAGGCCGAAAATGCAAGAGGCAGCTGACAAATCAAAGAGACCATCTCAGAGAGAGAGAGAGAGAGAGNNGAGAGAGAGAGCGAGAGGGAGAGAGTGGGCATCGATTGATCGACTGACTCATCGCCTGTGGAGTCCGGCCCCTGCATTTGTAAGGCACGTCACTGGGAGGCAGAGAGTCAGAGACTCTAATAGTAGCTTCCATGTTCTGCTCGATTCCCCCTATCCTGTAGTACGAGTACTTTCCATCTTTTCGTCCTCCTTACATGTCCCTACCCAAGCTCCACCATAAACGCTGCTTGGAAGCAATGAAGTGCGGCACGCCCACAGCCCACTCGACAGCTACGCCGAGCTCTTCCCACCTCGCCATTTCTGCCTGGCATGAGACGATTCCTATTGGTGGGCTTTTGAATGTGTAGGGCTTAGATCTTGCTTCCTGAAAGGAACAGGTGAAGGGCTTGTGCGACTTTCACTTCTAGGATTCCGCCATACGGTAGCTCTTGCTTCAAGCCCTTTCCTCCCTTCCCACTTTGTAGCCTTGAAAAGTGGGTCTTTGGCCTTGATGTACGTCGCACCCAGGCCCACCTTTCATGAGCTTCTCAAAAAAGACACCAATCACTTGATAACGACACATGGAGATGATCCACCACCCGAGAGGAGGGAATTCCTCCAAGGGACCCAGTGTTCCCCCAGCTGCGCCGCACCCAAGCGTCCTCCCAGGTCTCCTTGGCGCTCGTAAAGCCGCACTGGGACTCCTGGGAACGGTCTATCTTGCAAAAACCATGGGTAGCAGGCCAAAGCAGCAAGACTGTAACACAGATGAGCTATAGTCTAAAC